TGCGCTAGACATATCTCTATATGTTGATTAACTTGAATCTTTTAATTCTCTGCAACAAATTGCGGGATTTGAGAACTCTACCCAGTATTAAAACATCAGAATTATCAGTTTTCCACATTCTGATCTCAGTTACAGATCTATATTATGAACAAACAAAATTTCTTTCCGTGCACTGATTTTTCTGTATAAAGCGATGGTCCTGGTTCTACATTTACTATGATCTCTACCCTGAGGCATGCAACGCTCAAAGAAAGGTGCCTTACCGATTGTTTGGCTGCCGTCTGCACTTGGTACTGCACGATACGGTATGTGCCAATCATTGCATTTCTCGGTCCACGATCTTGTGAGTCATCTAGCATCTGCTCTGTGATCCCATAGCTATGCATGATATCCCAGACCTGGAGAAGTTGCCGAAAACTTTTTGGCGGTTCAAAGAACACGCAGTAAATGTTTTGTAAGGTATAAGGTAGAAAACATGAGCGACAGATTTTGGGAATGCTTTGAACTGCCCTACCTTTTTCGATATCTCATTCTTCTCCGCTTCGATTTTTTCTTGATGGCTCGCCAGATTAAGGTAAGTGGGAGGAAATTTGCATCCTCTGAGCCAAATGGACTTCTGCAACGGATGTGATGTGTCAAAGGTTAAAATTGTGTCTTTTTGAGAACGATCATATTTAAAATATGTATGTCAACTGCTAATTCCAGCTATATTTCTGTGAGCAGTTCCATAGTCACAAAGCATTGTTCGCCATCATTATTTCCTCGCTTACCTTGATGTCGTCAATTTTAGGTCGCTTGTACGGTTCCATTTGAAGCATGCTCTCAATAAGCATTCGTGATGAATGCTCTAGATACATGGGCAGCGTGAAGCTGCCTTGTAAAATGGCCTGTATCAACAAAAAGATCATTGCCGTACATGAATTTACTCGTGAAATCCAACCGTTTTGAGCTCGGGTACGGACTCTCCTTTGAAGGGAGTGATACCTATAAGCATGAAGTGAAGCAGAATACCAAGCGCCCAGATGTCGACCATAGATCCCACATAGCTTTGATCCCTGCAAGGAGCAAGGTATATTACTATTTGTTTGCAGAAAGGAGATAAAGAGGATTTGGAAAAAGCTGTGGTCGTTGCTGTAATCGGTTTGGATACAACGATAAAGAAGATTTCGAAGCTTCCAAAAAATCTGTGAGCTGACAAAATGTAAACAATAATGTGCGTAATATGTTTGATGATTTATAAATGGGTACTGTAAATTTCAAGGCCTACCTGAACAACTCAGGTGCAGCATACGGTGGACTACCGCAGAATGTCGTAAGCTGCTCTTGTGCTGATGGTACCATACAAGAAAAACCAAAATCCACCAATTTTACCACTCCCGGAGCGGAAAACATAATGTTCTCGGCTTTGATGTCCCGGTGAACAATGTTTTTCTTGTGCTGCAAAGAAAGTATTCAATTTTTCATGTGAACAGCGATATAAACGAACCATATGTGAAACTGCAGCCACAACTTGGGCAAATAATGGTCTAGCTTCTGCATCGGACAATTTTCCTCGTTCATGAACGTAAGCATAAAGTTCGCCTCCACCAGCATATTCCAGGATTAGATGGGTTCGAGTCAAGGTTTCTACACACTGAAAATTTGTTTTGTGGATAAAAAAATAGAGTAAATAATGACAGTGAGTCACGGAAAATCAGTGTTTGAACAGCCCAGCCAGTACAATTTTTAAAAAGAGGATATCCACAAAATTAACAAGTTGTGACTCTTATGACGAAAAACATTATTTTGCGATTGTTTGTGGGAGAAAAATGTAATAAGATTCTTACAAAGGCTGCTACGGATTCTTACCTCAAATAATCGTATAACATTTGGATGATGCATCTTCTCCATAGATTTGATTTCTCTCTCCAATAATCGCTGCGCTTTAGTGTCCATCTTTGTACGATCCATGATTTTGACTGCCACTTTTTCTAAAAAATTTTCGGTCATGTCCACTGGAATAAGTGTATAAATACGCGAATGTGCTATTAACTTCTACCGCTCTTTTGATTACAACGGCTAAAGAATGATGAAGATTGCTTAGACTTTCTCGAGTAAAAACTGCGTTCTCTCGCTTGCGAAAGGTTATT